TTACTGTAGTGCTTTCTAGATAATATCATAATGTAGGGAGGGAAAGAGCCGTGGCTCTTCAAATGTTGCAGAATTACAATTCTCTGTGTCCCTCATAGTTGGCCAACCTGCTGATGCTGTTGAAAGCTGCAACTCGGCCAGAGATTCCCAACCTGGAGGAGATACTTCAATTCATATGTTTAATCCAATAAAGGTTAGTAATCTAGACCAACGTGTGAATGGAAATGCCATTGAAAATCTCCCCCAAACTTTCCCTAAAGTAACAGCTAATGAATAAACTTGAAATCCCTTTAAACTTGCCCAATGCTAGAGGTATGTAAATTTTCTGCAATGCTTTGAGTTGGAAAAATTTTCTTGTGGAAATGAATAGGATTTAAATTATCCTACCTGATTCCATGATCTGGTCAAATATTTGGATTATTTTTTGGAGTGAAAATAACATTAAATCTAGCATATTTTATGTGGTCTGCATTTAAAAACTTCATATGGAGAAAAAATATTTTTCTTGAGAAGTTGAAACAATATTGGGCAGCGGGATAGTAAAGTAGCATGCAGTTACGATGCATTTTTAGCTTCTGAGTTTTTTTAGAACAAGCACCTGAATAACAGATGTCACACAGCTTTGAAAATTTTGAACATACCTGAAGTGGAAAATCTCTGCACTGCTGACCAAAAGCAAGTAACCCTTGTGAGTACTCACTTATACTGAATTTGCATATTGTTATAAAGTTTTTGTTGCCTTAGGGCAGTGATGGCTAACCGTTTTTTCCTCAGGTGCCGAAAACATGCATGCATGCGCGACAGCATGCACGCGTGTGCCTACCCATAATGCAATGCCCCCTGTGCCCTCTGCCTCCCTGCGCATGCGCACACAACCTCCCCCATACTTCCCCTCACCTGCATGCACGAACAACCCCCCCACGGCCCGTTTTTGGTCCCAGGAGGCTTCAGGGAGGCCTGCTAGGCCCAAAACAGGGTGTGGGGGGGGCACTGCACCCCCCATCCCCACGCATGCATGCACGACCCCCGTGCATGCACATGCAACCCCCCGCGCTCCCACACATGCATGTGCGATCCCCCGCCCCCTACACATGCACGCACGTCTCTGCAGAGACCCGAAAATCAGGAGGCACATGCGCATGCGTGGTGGAGCTGACCTAGGGTGATGGCTCATGTACCGGCAGAGATGGCTCCGCGTGCCACCTATGGCACGTGTGTCATAGGTTCGCCATCACAAGTTTAGGGTATTGTGAAAACCAGCCAATTGTGATTTATAGAGTAAATATGGTGAAACAAGCAATACATTAGTATAATGTATGAACTGTGGGAGTTCACAAAAATGAAGATATGAATGTGATAAAAGGGTGTCCAGATAAAGAGAGGAGAATCTGCTTATTCCTTTGCTGTTTTTCCCTCAATCAGCTTGAGAATATGATGTTGAAATGCCTTTCTAGATGATATTCTTACATGACTTATATGTTCCTTACACTTGAATGTTCCAGCAGGTCAAGATGCAGCAAAGGGAACTCTCCAAGATGAAAAAGGATCCATGCTCCTTAGAGACTTATTCATCTTAAATCATGAATCAAGAGGAAACTGGAAGGAGAAGGCAAATGAAGAATGTACCTACCAATGGCACATTGTTCATTTGAGCAATTCTTGGGCCTTGGTGGAATCTTCAACTGATTTCAGAAGTTTTGTAGACAGATCATGAAACTGCTATTGTTAGTTCTTAATGCAGTATATATCATAACGGGAAAGAAAGGTAGGTGAATAAATAGATTAGTTATTTCAGTGGAAGTTTTCCAAATCACTTTGATTTTTTCCAAGGTGATAGAAATATATGAACTAGATAATGATAACTTTTAAAACTGTGAAATTAAGCTATCAGTATAATCAGAACATACAAGACTGACCCATTGAAAAAACTGCAATGATTGAGCCTGATAAGTATCAATTGGAATCAATTTGAACAGAAGGGCTATTCTCAAGAAGGCCCTATTCCTCATGTCCATCAACTAATCTTTTTGCCAGGCTGAGTCTGTGCTTTAGAATCTGTGCTACTGAAATTCATCAAGTGGGCATAAAATTTTTTGGGCTTTAAAGTCCAATGCCTGTACATTGGAAACGTTAGTATAATCACTGCCACCAGTGAATAATATACATGCTCAGTTACTTTGCACCTACCAGTATCAATACAAGTTTTCTGAGCTATCTTTAAAAGGAAGCTTTACAGAAATATGGACCAGTTTCCAGAATACTTTAGCCAGCAACAGGCTGGGATTGTAGTCTATATACTGGTCAGGATTAAGTCTGGAGATGATTGCAATAGAACATTAAAAACTGAAATAAAATTTATTCTGGCCAGATGTTACCTCAATATGCAGCTTAAACTGGTAAGAATTATGAATTATTGCAGGCCCCATAGATTTCCGATACTCCAGGGAATTTATCAAGGTAATTGTAAGCCACCATCCTTGAAGTGTTGGGCTTCTTACCCACAGTACTTTCCACTTGCCTGAGTTAAGTGTTAGCTTGTGAAGCAGCTCCAGAGACCAGCTCAAAAGTTGCACAACAGAAAACGGAAAGAGGTGAATGTCGGTCCAAAGCTTTTAGTGATTTCATGCAGATAATAAAAGTTGAAGCAGAATAGAACAGACTACTGTGGTGTCATATAAGACCCTTTAACACAGTTCTACTTTTAGAAGCCATTCCTCCAGGCAGAGCTGAAAGCATCATATCACTGTGTTTCCCAAGACCAAGATTAATGGCCAGTCCAGAAGTATCAAAAACTGCTAAGAGATCCTTGAAGGCAGCTCAAAACTTCAGGACTTATTTAATAGCAATTGCCTGCCACCAGTTGTCTCTGCTGGTTCTGAGTACTCGGTTGCAACAGTTACCGTCAGTACCGCTGATGGGCCACAACACATACCAAGGAAAGAAGGGAAATGTTTGTTTGTTTGTATATGAAATAGTTGAATGGACATTTAAAACTCCTTAAATGTGCAAAAGACAGGCTCCAGTTAAAACAGCTACAAGTCGCTTGGTTTTAAGAGAAGGTATTTTTCCCTAGTCCAGGACAAAGAAACTCCTGGGAAATTTTGCACTCTTAATGTTATAGAAACACCCTAATGGACCTTTTATACCTTTTCTTTATTTGTCCTGATTTGCTAAATCCTCTGATTTCCTTAAAACAGAAGTGTAGGTGTGTGTGTGTGGGGGGGTACCACTTATTCTCTTTGGAATATTTGCAGATAGGAGAAACTGCATTGTTTTACTATCCTGCCTTATTTATTTTTGTTTATTATATTTTATTTATTTATTGTATCCCACCTTTATTATTTTTACAAATAATTCAAATAGCACACCTTCCTCTTCCTATTTTTCCCACAACAACCCTATGAGGTGTGTGGGGCTGAGAGAGTAACTGTCCCAAAGACATCCAGCTGGTTTTCATGGCTAAGATGGGACTTAAACTCACGGTCTCCCATTTTCTAGCCTGATGCCTTAATCACTAGACTAGACTCTTCGAGACCGTCTTCTGCCACCAGTAGCCTCCCACCGGCCAGTCTGCTCCCACAGAGAGGGTCTCCTCAGGGTGCCATCGGCCAAATTATGTCGGCTGGCGACACCCAGGGGGAGGGCCTTCTCTGTGGGAGCCCCTGCCCTTTGGAATGAACTCCCCCCAGAAATTCACAAAATCTCTGATCTCTGTGTATTTCGCTGTGCCCTCAAAACCATGTTGTTCCGCCAGGCTGGGGTATCAATATAATGATTTTAATTGGTTTTAAATTGGGTTTTTAAATTCGGGGTTTTATAAATTAGGCCTATTATTTAATAATTTTAATTATTTTTAAATACTGTCTGTCTTTGTGTTTTTAATTAGGCTGTACACCGCCCTGAGTCCTTCGGGAGAAGGGCGGTATAGAAATAAAATTAATTAATAAATAAATAATAAATAGTTGTCAAGCATCTGAATATAAATCACATGATCATGGGGCAATGGTCATAAGTGTGAAAAATGATCATAAGACACTTTTTTCAGTGCCGTTGTAACTTCGAACCATCACTAAATGATCTGTTATAAGTCGAGGACTACCTGGACACAATTGTGGAACACAGTTCAATAACATGAAAGACAACTACCTGATTTGTTTTAAAGTCAATTGAGCTGAGAGGAAGTTGCATTTCTGCATGATGACATGATCTTACCTTGCCCTTGTGGAGCCATCCTCATCTCCACAAGAGGGTGAGTAATTCATTTGAAACTTATCAATGAATGTAGCAGAGCATTTAATTATTTCGCATATTGGGACAGGAGAATTATTGGCCATCAGGGAAAGCTATCCCCATAATGAAAAACTTGCTTTTGTTTCAGACTGAAGCTGCCTCCAGAGCAATGCATTGTCTACAGTCAACAAAGAACAGTCTCTCTCCTCTGAATCTGAACCTTGGTTGTTTAAGGGTAAACTTCTTTTGATTTTTTCCCGAGTTAGGAAAAGAAAACCTGTTCTAGAATTTGGAAAAACGTATGATGGCTTTCATCAGTAAAATGCTGTGAGATTCTACTTACTCTTAATTGTAGAAATGACACATAGGAATCCAGTTTTATCCAGGAAAGAAAGGCATGGTCCAAAAGACACATGGGTTATTGGAAACTGATTATCCCAGGAAATCCGGAATAAAGGCATATTCTCCTGCAACACTCCTAAGTAAAGTTTTAGTTTGGATCTGTGCAGGGTGTTCATTAATCATGTAACATGGTTTGGGCAATTATTGGCATATAGCATCGTGTGTGGTGAAAAAAGAGGGCATTGCCAGGGTTTGTTGGACACCTGATGAATAGCTTAGCCACATGACATTTCTATTTTTCAGTGCAGCCAGAGGCCAGAGTCAGTGACAGGAATGCTTCTTGGCACGTATGGTTTAACTTCTGCACTTAGTTTTCCAAAATTTCCAGTTTTTTTTTTTGAAAAGGAACCTCTCTTGTCTAAGCGCAGGCACTAGGACCTGGCGGAACGCAGGCACCCTAGTCCTAGATTCCAAGCTGGCTTGCTTTGGTGACGTAAGCCAGAAGCCCTGTCTCTCTCTCTCTCTCTCTCTCCCTCTCTCTCTCTCTCTTTTTTTCTCTCTCTCTCTCTCTCTGTGTGAGTGTGTGTGTGTCTCTCTTTCTCTTCCCCCCTCCCCTCCCTTTCCAAGCTCTCTAACATTTAAGCGAAAATGCTTCTTTCTGTGCCTCCTCGTGCAGGAATTGCCACTTTTGGCTACAACAAGAGCAACAAGAAGGTAAGGAAGCCGTCCACCCCGTGCCCCCCCCCCCACCTCAACCCCCGCTTCCTATTTCCCAAGATCTTGGAAACGTCCTTGGCTTAAACAGGGAGGATAGGTTAAAAAAAAGGGGGGGGGCTGCGAAGGTTTTTTTTTTTTTTCCCCCCACTCTTCCGAAAATCCTGGTACCGCAGGGGGAGGGGGTGGTGGTGGCAGCGATGAAGGAAATTGGGTCTTTCCAGTTTTTGGGGGAGACTAAGAAGGTTGCCTTCTCAAAAGGGGAAACAAATCTCGGGGGTTGGCTGATCTTAGCTCCGTTCCCTTGGTGGAAACCAGCCCCTTGTGTCGTCCCCGTCCCCCCCCCCCCACATTCGGCGAGCCCTCTTGCTCAGGCCGGAGTGTTCCCAAGGGCGAGTTTTCAGTCCGGAATATATATATATATTTTAAAAAAAAAATTAAATTTACCAAAAAAAAAAAAAAAAAAAAAGGTGGGGGAGGGAAATGAAGCAGAAGAGCCGGGGAGGCGTTGAAACCCAGGCAGCGAAAATCCCATTGCACAGCACACTTGCTGACTTTCCACGGACATCGATAGTCTCTACGTTCTTCCCGGCACCCCCTGGATTCAAGGACTTTGCCGTGGGGGAAGCGAAGGAGGCGATGGGATCCCCAAGAGACTGGGGGTGGTCTCTCTTGTTTCTGGAAAGAAGTCGCAGTAGAGAGAGAGAGATATTTTTTTTCCCCCTTTTTTTATTTTTTTTATTTTTAAAAGACGTGGGCTTCAAGTCAGAATCACGCCAAAGGGCCTGGTTTTTAACCCTCTCCTGATGCTTTCCAGGGTGAGACAAGACTTCTGAGCCCACCCCTCACTGGGTGTTCTCGAGGGTGGGGTTCCAGGATGTGGTTTCTATGGCATCCATGTGTTCTCAGGCAGCCTGTGCCATAAACAAGGCTCCTCTTCTCTCCCCCCCCCCCCCGCCGCCCCAAAATGTCTCGGGAACGGAGACAGGAGTATGTGTGCCTAGGAAGATGGAACCTCCAGCTTGTAGGAAGGGAGTTGTAGCAAATGTGTTGGCCTGGGGTGGGGTGGTGGGTGGGTGGGTGGGAGTTGTGTGACTACCCCCACCCACAACCAAGGCTATCACTGGAAACCTGAAAGGCCTTGTCAGCTAAGGGAAAATGCAGGTTGGCTAGCCTGGTTGGTTGGTTGGTTGCTTGGCTTGAAGATTGGGGCGTGGATTAGTTTCCCCTGTGGCAAGAAGTGTGGTTTAGTGTGGGTATAGGGCGTTGAGGCTCCTAACTTATCTCTCCCGCCGGGGTTGGGAAGGTGGGGTGCAAAGGCAGGAATTGAGAATCAAGACTTCCAGCATTTTGAAGAGCTTATCTCTATTGTTGATTCACTGAATGACCTTGTATGCCTATGTTGTGAATTTAAAAGAAACGGGGGTGGGTGGGTGGGGAGGGGGTGGGTCGGAGGGGGGAGGGACTTTCTGCTTTAAAAAAAAAAATTTCCTTCTTGTCCTCTCCATAGTCAAAAGCAGGAGCTGACGGTTTTTACAATCAATGAATGGGCACATTAAAGCCACTGTAATAAAGAGGATGGGCAGGAACCTGACAAGTAGGAGGCAGGCTAAATTTGGATTATTAATTGTGTTTGTCCATATTTGGGGTGGGCATGGGTAGCAGCAGAAGGATTTCTAGCTTTTTTATCCTCCCTGGGCAGCCTGTCTTTGAACCTGGGTCACATTTTTTAAAATTTCTCATTCTGATTTATTTATTGGATGATGGAAATATATACAAGTAGGCAGGCTGAACTTATAGGATGGTGGAAGAGAGATGTAGGCCTGAAAAGCTCAAGAGATTTTTGTATGTCATATGCTGTTTATGAATATGCACATTCACATGTCCTAAAAGCCCACTTAAGGACAAAACCAGCAGGCATCTTTTAGATTTGACGTAAAGTTGCAATTACTTCTGCAGGTTTGTGTATAAGGATGTACATGTCTCACTTTTCCCACCATGTGAATCCAAATTATATGTGTAAGTTGCATATGTGATTTTAAAAATGTCTTCATTATATTGCTGTATTTCTAGAGTGTTTGTAATTGAATTTATTTGGGCTAAAATTTGGTTTTATGGAATGGGTGCATGTATAAGTGCCTGTTTTCTAGCAATTACCAACAGTAAGTATGGAGGAAATGCATCTTTCTGTGCACTAATGAACAGGTGTAACTGTGATATAGGTGTGCAATCCCATTTAGATATTTACAATATTGAATTTGTATGACAGCAAAGATATGGGTGTGCGTATCTGTACATAAATAGAATTTGATCAGGCGAAGTGTCACAATATAGGTATACAGATACATGTCTAGAAATGAGTCTGATGGTATCTGTGCATGGTGGTGATTTGGATCTACAACAGGAGTGCACCATCTGTGGGCTGGAGAGTTGCAGGCTTGCCTGGCATGTCAAGTGCAGCACTCCAAAGGGGCTGGGCCGAAATCCCCTGAGGATCTTGTGAGTCTGAAAAGGTCTCTGCAAAACTTGAAGCACCAATTTTGCCCCTTCCCCTTTCCTCTCCAAATTACTTTAAAAAAAAAGAAAAAAAAGGCCACATGTCATGCTCTGGCAGCGTCAATATGGAAGGCTAGTGGGCTATTGATAGACAGTTCCTTGGCTGTACCTTTGGCTCCACTGAAGTACAATATACAGATTTTACTTCAGCTGAAAAACTTCAACTTTCCCATCACAAAGGTGCTCCTTAGAAATAAATTTCATTAAAATCAACGGATCTCTGTTGGACTTCAGAGCCAGTTGTAGCCAGCAGAAGCTTTAGGTGCAATCCCCAGAGCCCTTGCAAAATTTGTGACCAAATTGCAGTTGTAATTTGTTACAGAAGTGGAAATTATCAAGTACCTAGGGAGTAATCCCATTAACTGTTTTGAATTTACATTGAGTTAAATTGGAATTAAATCCGTTCTTGTTCTTGTCCTAATTGAGGGAGAAAGAGGGGGTGGGAAGCATGTTTAGGATTGTAATGGTAGCCAATGGGTGTGTGCTGGCTTAGGCACAAAAACTGATTTTAAGAAAGGTCTGGGTTTCATCCTGTGATTCTCTGAATCAGGTCTCATATTGAGGTTCTTTCTGTTCTGAATTCACGACCCCGTTTGTGTGAACAATATTACTCTTAAGGTGTATGTTAATTGAAGAATCTTCCTTGATTTGGAATAATACAAAATTATGGCTCTTAGATTATGAGAAGCTATTTTAAATACAGGTTCATTCATTTTCATTGTTTACCTGAATGCAAGTAACAGAAATAATGCCATTGTATGCAGAGGAGGAGATCTCAACCTGCATATCAATGGCACTGGCCTTTTGTGAAATCGGATTAATAATGAACTTGGTGGACATGTTTCTCTCATTACTCTGTTGTGGAAATTATACATTCAGTTTGCTTTACCATGGATCTGCTGTGTCTGGTGTTAGCATCAACAGGAGTCACAACTTGAGCATCCATCTGAGTCTTGACCATGTTGCATTGACTTAATAATCTTAATAACCATGACTTAATTGTGAGCTGTTAAATAATCTTTTCCATCATAATTTTAAAACCACACGAACTACACAATGCCTTTAGTGCAAGGTACAGATTCACCTGACTGGATTTCTCAAGCAATTTGGGCCTAGAAAAGGGGGTTTAAAATTAAAAAAATTTAAATAAAATTTTATAAATGTTGGTTGACTGGTTGGTTTTCATATATGAATATCCTTATCAGATCTAAAAGACATAGATGCTTGTTGTTAGCTTCTTTGTCCAAGTATATACCTGTAAGAAAACAATAGATTAGTTAGTATCTAGTGGTAGATATCAATCTAGTATGGTTGAAATAAATGCATGAGGTTATCTAATCACAGGAGCAAAATTACCTATTCTGGATATATGAACGAACTCTGAGATAAAATCTATACTCAAGATTCTTGTTTCATAATTTAATTATTATTGAGGTATGTCTTTTTATACCATCTGCTTGTGGGAGGACTTCAGGGCTTTAATAAAGTTAAATCAATAAAGTATAATTCTTCAGCTCTTAAAACCCAAAACAAGTGGATCTTCTCTGTCCCATTATTAAGCTGATAGCATTTCTTTTGTAGAACCAACTCTGTCCTTTCACATTTTCCTACAACATCCTGTTTACCCACTTGTTGGAACATCCATGTGATATTTTTGAGTTTTTATTCTCTGGACTCTTTTTTTGAAATTGACTTCCCTCAAACGAGGTACCGCACTGTATGGCATCCAATTGAGTCGACTTTTAAAAGGCCCTTAAATGTATCTTTTGTTCAGCTTATTTTCAGAAACTTAGAGAATGATTCTTTTTGGCTACAATATGTTATGATAATGCTGGGGTTAAATAATTGTTAAATTCATGCACTTATTTTTGTGTGCTCGCTTAATTGCTATGTGCTTCTACTATGCTTAGATATAGAAATTTTGTTTGCTATCAGACAAAAGTACCACTACCAGTACTACTGGGGAAACTAGATTGAAGGATAGTGATGTTCATGAACATCATGGCTGAATAGGGATGTGCACTGTATATGTTTTGCATGTTGAATATTAATCAGTTTTCAAGCCTTGCCTTTCATTTGTTCGTGAACTGGTCTGGTCACTTTCCCTTCTTTTCCCAAGCATTGCATTGCATTTATTTCTTCATCTTACAGATGCATTCTTCACGTACAATAGAACCTCTGGTCACGAACACTTCTGACAACGACCAAATCGGGTTCCGACCAAAAAATTCACATTTTTTTTCCGCAGCCAATTTCCCCTCCGCACCATTTTTTTTTGTAAGCGCCAAATTTCCAAAATTAGGTTCAGATCATGCCCAAATCGGTTTGCGACCAAAGTTATGGAACGAATTATGGTCGTGACCAGAGGTTCTACTGTAACTGCTTTCTTTAATTTGTAATAAATGGGCATTGTAAAGCATCTATATTAAATTTAGAGGAGTGGA